CTATGAAAAATTATTTACCCTCAGCAAACAATAAATATATGATCGTATGTGTCCGATCAATGTTTTTAACAATAAACAATGTATTTACCAATTGATGTATCTTCCTCAAAAATTACTTTCCAAATCATTCGCGGATACGAAGCAATTGTTGCTGGATGCGATTCAAATTTCTTTAAAGAGTGACTGAAGTTATTTGATAATCAAGTAAGATCGGCCACCTCGGTAGAATTTCTCAAATGTCAATATGTACATCGATATTTATCGAAATGCTGCATTTTTCAATGTATTGCTATTGCTAAATTGTGAGAATACACAAATCTACAAATGGTCAATAAGATGCTCATTGTAAAAAAAGAATTAACAAAAATATAAAAGTGCACTGTTAACTATGTGAATTAATTGAAATTATAATTAAGAAAAAAGTGTCAACTGAACTCAAAATTAGTGATAGTGTATGTAAGTTCATTGAAGACAATGAAAATAGTGAAATTCGTGATTCGATGAGCGAGCACAACCCAAAATCACTTCATAACCTCACTTCGGGATTCACTCTTGAAAAACTTAAATATGATCTAAATCGAAAATAAATGACAAAGACTTGATAATAAATCTGTTGACAAATAAAAAGATTGATGACGTTGCCGGACACAAAGTAGGGGATTCGGTTAGTAAGCAAACTAACTCAAGATGAAGTTAGTTTGGCGATAGATAATGCAAAAAAATCCATGATCTCGCAGAGGTAGAAAACCTGCGGTTGAAGAATCCATCTCCGCAAACAAACTCAAAATGGTTAGACAAACGAATCTTTCTATAATAGGAAGAAGCTACAGTAATATAAATTGCTCTCTGAAAGTAGCTCCCAAGAAATCTTTTTTGCACGTTTACAAGATACACCCAGATATGACAGTAAATGAAATCAAGCATTTTCTCCCAAATAATCTTCCAGAAGTGGAAGTAGAAAACCTAAAATCGATACACCCTAAACTGTATTCCTCGTTCAAGGTCACCTTTGATGAAAGTAACTTCGAGAAAGCGTGGAAACCAGATATGTGGCCAGCTGGTGCTTGGGTAAATCTTTTTTTTTATTCAATAAAAATAGTCCACCAGCAGCTGTAAATAAATATCAGGACGAGTCTCACTTAGAGGGGACCTGTAGGGGTGATAATTGGGTGAACATTCTGCATATCAAAATTCAGAGTATCGCGAATAAAATTGATGAGATTCTTTTATTTTTAAATGATAACAGGTATTCAAGTTCTGTGTTTTAGTGAGCATTGGCTGAATGAGATCTGTATAAAATTGGTCAACACTCAATATTATTGTCTTGCGACTAGTTTTTGTAGATATACTGGGGAGCTTGGTGGAGTATACAACATCGTATACAAACCTATTGACGTGAGTGAATTCAGTAGCAAATTACATGCAGAAATTTGTGGCATTGACCTAGGTCATATGAATTGTGCTATAATTGCTGTATATAGATCGTCTAAATATTATGGTGATTTGAATATTTTTCTATATTATTTGGAAGAACTACTAGAGATATTATCGGGCAAATATGAAAATATATTCTTGATGGGCGATTTCAATATTGATTTCAATAGCAGTGGGTCCAATCTAATAGATATGTCACAAATTATTTATCACCTCGTTTGAAGTTTTCAGCAGGAAATATCGAAAGTGTATATAGAGTAAACGAAAAAAGCCGCTTATGATGATTATATTTATTTATCTGACAACAAAAACTGGGATAGTTAGAAGTTGATCAATCATGAGAGAAATAAAAGTAAAAATGGAACATAACCCCTACTTTTGTAGGGTGGCAGAAGACATCAGGAAAGAATCGAAAAAAACCCATATTCGGGCAACTGATTATCTAAAAAAAATTGCCGCAACTTCCAAACTCATTTTTTCGCTCCCCTGTCACTTCGCTGGAAGTTTCAGCTACCATCAAAAACTTCAAAAAATCAAACTGTTCTAATATATATGGAGTAAACAAAAAAATCTTCATGAGATTTCAGATTTATTATCAGAGCCCTCACCAATCTAATCAATCTTTGTTTTTCATTCGGAACCCTCCCGAAGGTATTTAAAAAAGTGAAAGTGATTCCTATCTGTAAGAGCGGAGACAGACATTCCATTGAACTACACAACAATATCAATAATATCTTTAATAGGAAAAATAATTGAACTGTGTCAAACTTATATCTTACATGGACAAACACAAACTTTAGAACCAAAAACAGTTTGGCATTAGGAGTTGTAAATCCACAGTTCAAGCAGTTGAGGACTTAGTTGTGGATATAGTAGATGCATGGTTTTGGATGGTAGTATCCAAAAACTTGGATACTACGGAATTTGAGGTGGTACATTAAAATTTTTCAAGTCATATCTTACAAACAGATAACAAGCGGTTTACTGCGATACAAATAAATCTGGTATTCAAGTGGTCAAATACGGAGTGTCTCAAGGGTCGGTCTTGGAACCTACTTTATTTATAATATATGTAAATGATATGTTCTATAATTTACAGTCTTCCTTATGCATTGTGTTCGCTGGCGATGTAACACTATACGAATCAAGTATTGATAAAAATCTCTTTGAGTATGCAATCATGCCAGTTGAACAGAAAGCGTATGAATAGTTTGTAGCAAATGATTTCAAGCGAAAACCTAATAAAACACAAATAACTGAATTTTCGTGTAATCCTCTGAATCAAATGGGTGGAAAAGTCAAGCTTCTAGTGCTCACATTAGATCCGTCTCTGAAATGGCATTTTCACACTGTCTTCTAAACTTCACAATTAGTTTTACCTATTAAGACAACTCAAAAAAGTATCAAGTTGTGTCGCTTTGAGAACTGCATAATTTTTCTTTATTTCATTTCTACATCTGTTATGGGGTAGATTTGGGGAAACTCCAGCCTATCTTCTAAAATGTTCAAGTGTCAAAAAAAAGCTATAAGGATAATTGCCAGTGTTGATTTTCGTGATTCTTGCAGAAATTTGTTCAGTGAATTGAAAGTCATGACAATGTTTTCTGTATATATCTATGAGTCTCTTATACAAATTCATAAGAATATTGGAAAATTTCAATCTATTTCTGAGTTACATGACAATACAATTAATAACAATCATCTGATATTGACACGGTATACTTAGGCTTACTACATCAGTTAGTAATTCCCTTGATTTGAACTAGTTCAATAAGCTCCCAAATGAGGTGAAAAGTATGAGTCAAAAGAAATTCAAAAAAACAATATTTTTCATTAGGAACTCCTTTTACACTATTGATGAATATAAACTATGCCACCTGTATTACCACAACAGCTATTTTGTAGGTAAATTTTCTTAAACATTTAGTTTCTCATCAGTTTTAAGTTTTAGCTCCAATTTTTATATGTACCAATTTTATGGTAATCTTATTATGGATATGTTATCAAAAACAAAAACAAAAAAAAAACTATATTATGATAGTCTCACTATGCTTGCGTTATCAAAAAAATACTATATATGTATTATAACTGTATATGATTATGTATTGTGACTTGCTACAAATGTTTTGAACATAACGTTGTCACATAAAGTATCTATCAATCTATCTGTATAACTGGAAGAAATTGATAATTTTTCTTTCCTAATATAGACTTGTTCAAGGGAGATACACACGACAAATCCATTCTGACCTATCGAAAATTGATCAATACATTTTTTGTTTACGACCTTCCAAAAAACGAGAACATTTTCACATTGGTACCCAGTAGTATTCCATCTAAGCATACCACGAAAAATGCTATAATTTCGAGAAAAATACATTTGGTCTAGTTTTTTGATATTGAAGAAGCTGGTGTTACCACATTGTGCAAATCATTCATTAAATGCAATATATTGTAGAAAAATACTTTAATTTACAAAGAAATGTGTTTTAGGAACCTCTTTGATATGTAATGACTTACGCCTATTATTCAACAAATAATAAAACATATTTCGGTAATACTACTGCTAGTCGACTTACTAACTTTTCAAAGGTGTTAAAATGATATTTACCTACTTTTAACTTTTGTGATTGGTATTCTGTTAATTGTGTGATTTTTTTCTCTAAGTTAGGTACTATTCAATACTCTCCTAATATAGTAAATAAGTAAGTGTATGTGTCACATTAGAGAAGAATGTCTTTCCTTTGTCAAACACAGTATTTACAAAAGTATTAATCTTGTTCAAATAATATCCAATTTTTGTGGCTGTTTTCACACCCGTATCTAATAAGGCTAGTAAAATAGCTGTTTAATTATGTTATTTGAAAAATATTTCAATCCACAGAAGTACTTTAGTGTATTGAAGAGAAGTATGCATGCAGCTTATACAATGAAATATTACCTGGTGGCTTTTATTATTGTGTATCCTGAGTCGTTTCAATTTAGTGAAAAAGAAGGCTGAAAAGTTGCCCTTTTCTGAACTTTGAAGGGCCATAACTTTTTAAATAAGGGAGAGCGCCGCTTTTTTCTTTCGGATTCGTAATCTACGCATCAAAATACGTAAGTACAGTCAAAAATTTTTTCAAAATCGCCGGGTGTCCAGATAACGAAAATTTACCAAATATTTCTGTTACAAGGACACAACAATATTATTATTGCTTTCAAAAAGCTGGTTTGGGAGAAATTAGGTACTATTTTGAGTAACAATCTAGTGCGAGTTCTAGTGACATTTTATGAAGTATCTATCTATATTATAGTAAAGAAAGTAAACTCAGAAGTAGAAACATCTGGCATCGAACAATGCCACTCTGAAGTTATCATCTCCTTAATAAAATAAAATAAATTTGGAGTACTTAAATTTCAGTGAATGGTCATACCAAGTGTAGAGGAATTAGAAAACTATGAATGTCACAAACATACTCCATAAACATATCAAACAGCATCCAAAGATAAAACGTAATAGGTAGCTGCTTTTGCGCTTCAGTGTATCCCTTTTGAGTGCTGTCAATCATAAAATAATAACAAACCTGGATTTCCGATGAAGTCTTCCTTTTCCAGCAGTGAAGGGGGCATCTGAAAACCGTACGCTGGCAGCCAGGGATTGTTTCCTGAATTTAAATCCACAGGTTGCCCCGGCCAATCGCTAAAAGCGATTTCTTCCATCTTCAAGTCATTCACAGCAATTTCACACGGTCATCCAACGGTAAGACACTGTATACGCACATGTATTTAAAGTTCACATTTCATTCTACTTAACTAGAAATCACAATGAAGTCTTTCACATTTCAAACTCTCAAAGTATGTTGAACCTGAATGGGTTCATTCATGAGAATAATTAAACAGTGGGACGTTGAGAAGACCGTCAATCCGTTATCAACACATTCGATTCCATCTTTTAAACTGCATTCTTAAATGATGAAATTTAATACTTTTATCGCACACCTACTCTGCGTTTTCAAATAAACAACAACAGTACTGGTTATTCACCGTCTTGAAACCGACCACTGAATCGAAATAATTGTTTATTTCCCACTACACCACTAGAAATTGTGTTGTTTTTCTGTCACAACTTGCCGTAACACCGCGTTGTTTTATTTGTAACCAAGTGTCCACTTTTCTATAGCAACCGCTCTAAGGCTCCGCGACAATAAAAAACAATGAATAAGTCGCTACGTAGCGGACGTGGAATCGCGGCCACGTGACCAGGTCGACCAATCGGGTATATTCACAGGTTATATACAGTGGTTTCTTGATCGGCGCTGAGATGCTTTTCACATGTTTTCGAATCAGAAGGTAGGTTTACAATGGCAGGTAACAATCGTGAGGCTTAACGGTAGAAAACGGTAGAAGAGAGCTGAAGAACGCGTTTCGGCCTTCGGCGTATTCGAGACCGGCGAGTGAGAGGTGATTGAGGTGAAATGACCCATTTATTTCCGGCACGTAGGTTGACCGGAAGATTTTTGGATGAGTTCGTTGCTCGATTATGCGGTTTAAAGCCATTGCTCATCGCGTCTACTGTAAGACGGCGGGAAACGATGCGCGGGGGTAGAGGTGCAGTCTAACCCCTAGTTTATAAAAACGCAAGGTAACGAGGTGAGGTAAGAAAGTTGAAGTATTGAGAAAACACACTTGCGTTCTAGATAAAAAGTAAGGTAAGGTAACGTCGGTAAGGCAAGGTAACGCAAGGTAAAAAGTTGGCTGATTTCAACTTACTGCGTTGCGTTCTTACCTCCGACCAATCAGAAAGCGCCATACTACGAACTTTGACGGATATATTCGAATGGTGTAAAGGTAATGTCACCAGATAAAGTTAAACGTCACATTGTGAAATTTGATTTTTCTTTTGATTGATATGAATACAAAAATTGCCGCGATCGTGTCAATAGTAAGTGTCTATCTTTTACTCAAGAGAAAGAAACGAAAATGGAGGAGGTTTAATGTCAGACCCATTCTGAGAAGCAGAAAGACTCGGGGGCAATTTCAGTTATTTGAAAGAATGAAAAATGATGATCAATTTTTGTACACAAGAATGAACAAAATATGTTTTGAAAAAACGTGAAATTGTTAGCGCCTTCATTGTTAAAAAAAGATATGGATCGATATCTCCAGAAGAGAAATTGGCTATAACACTCCAGTAAAGTGAATTGTTGAAATTGAAAATTGAAATGAAAGTTATTTATTTCATATGAGTGATTGCTGCTGTCAAGATTATGGAAATGGAATGTCAATATTTGTTTATGTATTCCTGCCAAACCAAAAATCACCAAAACCTATAATCACATGGCAATTATTCATACTATACTTATTCGTGAACGTCAAAAAGGGATACTTTACCTTACCTTGCATTATTATAAACTAAGGGTAAGCAATGGAGCGCCATCGCCGCCAGCCGAACGCAGGCAGACGCGTGAGGGCTACGTCGTTGACGGTAGTGTTAGTTTTGAGAATTTCTCTATAGGTAACATCATTCGATTCTCAAAGGTATTCATTACTTAGTGCAGTTGGCATATTTTTTCAGTTACTGTATTTCAGAGTGAAAATTTAAATTACTAGCTGTTGCCCGCCCTTATATTAACTTATAGCCGAAGCTAATGAACCTAGGGTCTTGAAATATGCAGGTAGTTTCTTTGTATAGCGTAAATAAGCATCAAGAAAGGTAATCAGGAATTTTCACCCCCAAGGGGGAAAAATAGGGGTTCAAAGATTGTATTGAATTTCCTCAGTTTTGAAGTTGAAAACCAGAAGTTTGGAATAATAATTTGTTTAAAATGGTCTGTCACGAAACTCAGTGTGACAAACCAAATTCTACGCGGGCGAAACAACGGGCAACAACTAGTAGATCATGAATTTATCAATGAAGAGATTTCTTTCATTCGAAAAATGATACCCAACAAAAGCTTCATACTAAAAATGTAAAAGCTTCTGATGGAAGAAATAAAGCAATCAAGCTACTTTTATGTGGTAATGAGATAATAAGATGCCTGTCTTATTACCTCATCAGCATTTTTTTGAATGATGTTACAAGAGGAACATCTCATTCCATTTATAACACCGAAAATATAAATTTGCTCATCTCATGACGACAGTCTCTAGAGACATTCATTCGCTCATTTGGTTATATATATATCTGTCTTCGGAAGGCTAAAAAACATTTTCTTATATCAGTAGGTGCCTGATTTCTAGAGTAATGAATTTACCATTACCATACATACCATTTATTTTCAATTAATGTACAATAAAAATCTCTGCTACTGAAGGTAATGAGTTCTTCAGTAGATTTAACGTAATAGCAAAGGAATAATTAGTTATATAAATTCCTATGGAATAATTAAAACTATCACAATTCCTAAAATTCGAAACCACTTGCCTTGAAGAACATAAGCAATGGCAGAAATGAGGTGTTCTACATCACACGCTAAAGGTGTTTCAAACCATACATTTTTCTATTTTAATTTTGAACAAAATTTTGTGTTTTTATTTTTTTATGATGTAGCATTAAAAAGTCATATACTCCTCAATTTTCACCCTTCTATCATCAACCCCTATTTTTCAATCGCCAATTTAGTAATTTTTAACACTGATAACTTATTTTCTCCAGGCGTCTACCGGTGTCACTTCTGACTCAGTAAACAGCACGGAGTAGAGATGAGAATGAAGCCGATCTCCGTCTCTCACATAATAAGCTTCTNTAATAGTTTCGATTATTTTTTTTTTAACTAGAAAGAATTTTAAAGCATTCGGTAAGTAATTTTTCTTCGATATACAGCGGTATGAACATCGAAAAATAAACAAAAACTACTTTATCAAAGAAACTTAAAACTTGTTCGACTCATTCCAACCTACAGTTAAGAATGGTGTCACTTGCTACAAGAAACTGAATTTGTTGCAACCAACCTTGAAGAAATATAATAAATTCGATATCGTAAATTAACTAATTTCTGAAATCACAATTATGGAGAATGGACCCTTGCCTGAAACATCATATTGTAAATGCAAACTTGAATGATAAATGAAAGGTGAAACTGAAAGCTTTGGCATAGAATACACCAACTTGGTTGGTGAAACGCGCTTCGAGAAGTGCTTGTTTTGGACCTCCCCTGAGGTCCAAACCGTCTACGAAATTTTTCCAATGATCCAGACATTCTCATTATATACAAGACCAGAAACCAATTTGTTGAAAGATTGCAAAAATTCATTTTAGTCCCTATATTTGTGACCATGAAAGGAAAAAATGAAAAATCTGGCGATTATTTAGTATAAAATTGAATAATCATGAATATGTGAATCCTTAAAGTGTATTGAATGTAAATGTAAATCTTTCAAGTGATGATGAATCTATAGCAAATGAATATTGACACTTTTTCGCAACATCAGCTGCGGAATTACTGAATACTGATAACTGAAAAGTGTTACAGCAGGTGTGTACTCTTTTTCACACCAAGCAAATAAATTCAATATGTTTTAGAGCGGTTGTAATAATGAAGTTGAAGATATAAATATTAGGACTTGAAAACAAAGAATCTGTGGGCATTGATGAGATTCTAACTGAATTGGTAAGAAGTGTTTTGATGAAATAACCGCGACAACAACAAGCAACTATTCAGATATATATAATTTGTATTCTGTTTGAAAATGTTTGGCCCCAATACATTCAACAAGTTTTTTAATGCGTGATTAGACATTCATAGACAATTACGAAACGATAATATCGGTTCCATTCATTCTATCATTTATCAAGTCTGCCATAATTTTATCCCTTGCATAATCCTGCCAATGATCTCATTGTTTATTTTTTTCGCTTTCGCTCAGAAGATTCGATTATAAAAAAATCGCAGCCCATTATAAAAACAGTCTAGAGAAGGTTTTGTCTGTTTGATGGAATTCGAGTTTCGAGTTTGTTTTCGAAATTAAAATTAGTTTATTGTAGTGGAAATCCGCCTTTGTACTAATGACAGAATGAATTCAAAGTTGCATTTAATACCAGATTTGGCACCACTGATGATTTTTTCGATAAATTAAAATAGTGTTAAATAATAGTGGATCATGAATTTAACAATGTCAGGCTAATGACGATCGTTATACGAAGTTTAACTATAAAAAAGTGGTTCTGAAATAAACGGTTTCTTCGTGAAAAAATCAGCATCAATTCATCTTCTGCTGGATATTTGTCAAAAATTCGAACATGCATATGTGCATAATTTCCCATGATGAAAAACTCATATTTTCAATGCATACTGATTCTTATATATGTACACATTTATTTAAGTGTAATGATACCATAATTCTTTAATATTCGTTCTTCATTCTTCACCAGCCATATTTTATATATAAGCTCTGTTATTATCAACTTCAAATAAGCTTATAATACTTTCAATAATTACCAAGTTCTCTACCACTCCTTGAACTTATATGTACCTACATAACATTTTTTGATTGGAATTTAATCAGTTATTTTTATATTGTAACTCATTCATGTATATACATTTCACATATAAATTAATTTTAGATTTTTCTTTTTGAATTTAAACCTCTAATATTACTATGAATGTTTATATTGTTATATCTATTCCCCGAAGCCCCGATACATTCGGGAGGGCGCGCCAGCATTATCAACCAATGACCGCTCCCCACACCGTGGGGTAAGTGATCATTGGCTCCGAGAATCATGTGCCCTGAGCAAGCGCAGTGAGCCAAGAATGACAGCCTTCTGCATCTATGCGCCTAAAATTTCTGCCTTAATGCGGCAAGTCGGTATGATTTTAAGATTCGAGAGTAGAAAGAACATCATTCCACCAAGGACTTCAATAATCAGAACGACCATCTCGACAGAGTGGTCTGGATAGAGTCTCCAGAGTTCGAAGAGAAAATCTCGATATTTTATCCGTTTTACCTCCTCTTTTCGGACGATATTCGTCTCGCCAGGAGCTGAAAACTCCACGACAGATATCGTCTTGCTCTGGTGGCCAAGAAAGACTACATCAGGCTTATTAGCTTGTATGAGCCTGAGGGTAGGGAACAAATAGTTCCAATAATATCGGCACTTCTCGTCCCCACAACGGATTCAATATCCCCCGGAGCGTAGGGCAACACCGGGGTCTCATCAATACCGTAGATGGTAATATAGCACTGTTAGGGCCGCGTTATGTCGATGGATATATAGGCCGCATATGCTGGACATGTTGATAGCAAGTGCATCAGGGTCTCGGGCGCCTCGCGGCAGGCCCTGCACCTTGTGTCAGGAACCGCTATACCCATCACGCGACTGTGGTAGACTAAAGTGTTGAAGACACCATCATGGCAAACCATGATGAACCTCTCAGTTTCTGACTTCAGCCCACTTCGACCTTCGAAACGGTAACTGCCTTTCGAAATATT